CGCTAGGTCGGACCCTGATGAATTATTCAATGTTAGCCAAGTGGACCTCGATGTATTTGCTCCTAAAACCGAGTTCCGGAGCCCTATAACGAGTCATTCACTTGATCTCGTTCCTTGACCGAAACCGATACCAAATGCCACAACTCGCGATGCCCTATTGACTCTCAGTAAGTCAGCTTGCACGTATGACTTAACGCCATCATCGTTATTGCCCGATAGCATCGCGCGAGGCAAACAAGAACCTGCTTGCTTTACCGGATGTATCGCAAAAGTTTGCTTTGGAGAAGTTTACCATGGTATATTGTAATAATGCATCAAATTATGTAATAACTTTCTCGCCTGTTTGCCTAGTAAATATTGTTGGTAGCGTTATAAATCATTTAAACATTTGCTATTTAGAGGCAGATAAAGCAAATTGCAATAAAGAGTTAATTATTTTATCAAAAATGGGAAAAACGTTTTAATTAGAATAATGAAAGTAATATCATTTAATTGTTGAATAAATAATAATTAGGTTCTTTTGGAATAATAATAATGCTGAATGCTCTGCATAGAATTCATTATAGATAATTACTTTCTGTTATTAAATAAAGTTAATAAATAAGCTACAATATGTGGATATAATTATTTACACATATCATTTTTATTTTAATATGAGCCAGAAATATGAAAAAATGTATAGCTAACATTAGTTGCATTAATATATACGAATAAATAAAAAATTATTATTATTTCTTACTACATCATATTTTATGTTAAAACTATTCTTAACTTATATAACATTACGTTATTCTTTGATATTTGTGCATGCAATATTTTAAAATATATAAGATGCAGTAATAAATATTTATTTTAAATGAAAGATTTAATAAAGAAATAATCAACACAAAAAGGATAACTGCATTGCAATTATTCTTATTTAGAAGTCATTTTTGCGAAATAAATTTAATAACAAATGATAGATCTAATAGATAGATCTAATTTCTAATAATGATAAATTAATTGATAAATATAAACAAAAGAAAATATGACACGTAAGTGACTAAAACTATTTTCGATTAACTCTCGAGTATCGAGTAGAGGACGATCGTTTTTATTTGGAAACATTTGCGCGATACGAATGTCGTGTCCTTTCCGATCAGCGAGTTTAATTAGATCGAGCAGTTCGTTATGATATCGAATTCTCCATGATACAGGAAAAGGAAAAATGTCGATAGTAATCGTAGCCACAATTCGCGCATGTAATCCATTTCGTCAATTATCACCAATAAATTGTATTTGGAACACGTTATCGGTGCTTTCATTATATAATCGCCTATAAATATGGAAATATGCAATATGCCTCATACAAGAGAAAAACAGAGAAAGAAAGAGAGAAAGAGAGTACAATATACTAGAAATCATAACAATATATACTCGATTATAGGATGCGTGCCGCTTCAAGGGAGCGTATTATCTGTTTCTATTATACACAATACGAGCTTTCATTCGATTTTGTGAATTATGATTCGTTATTATTATCTTCAAAATATTACAAAATAAAATCTTTGATTGAATAATTTTAATAATTTTTTCAAGTTCTTTAATTATTAATCACCATATGAACACAATTAGATAATTAGCAAGTCAATTTAGTCAATTAAATTTTGTAATATGTATATATTATATTCAATATTTTATTATATTTTTTATAGATTTATTAAATAATATTATATAATTGCTGTTCTATAAATTTCAAACTATATATTTAAAAAAAAAATGCTTTAAATATCGTTATTAATTTAATCAAAGCAAATTTGATATCTTTTAAACTTGAATTTTTTAAATATCCAAAAGAAGAAAGATATTAATAAACAAAAATAATTAATGTATTAGATGCACTAGATGCTCTTCTACATTTTAATAATTCCTATTTAAATTTCTCCTACCTTTTAATATCATTAACGATGTTTCGCATTGCGGACTGCATTTATCCGAGTTTGTAACAAAACGCCTACATTTACGGCAACTTCGAGGATCATTATTAATTATACAAGAAAGCAGCTCTGCTGCTGGCGTGACAGTTGCCGATCTAGAATTTCATATTAATTAATACAACAGACGGTGCGGGATGCCCTCATGCGCGTTATTATTAATTTTAGTGCGCGTTGACTCGTTCGTCGCAAACTGTTTCCGCATTATAACTTCGTTCGATGTTGAATTTACGAGAGAAGCGCACATTATTTTCTGATGTACTTAAACGTTATGGACTGTATTAATGATAATGTGCTATGTATTAAAATAAATGTATAATCGCTACTGCATTTTTTTTTAGAAAGTCGATAATATGAACGGTCAAGTTAAAAATAATCCCGTAAGATTTTAAGTTAAAAAGTTAAATTGTTAATATTAAAGTTTAATTATTAATATAACGGATTAATCACTGAAGAAAATGTATAATACGTTTTAATATTTATTATTCAATTGGATGTGTTCTTTATATGACCTAACAACATATAACATAAAATATTAATAAACATTAATAGTGTGGTAGTGTTTACTAGCGCAGTCAAAATTTAGTATAAACTATTAGATATTCTATTTAATATAAATTTAAATATTTAATATAAATTATCATTCGTGTCTCTCAAAAAACTTTTTTCTTTAAAAAGTAACAATCTTTCTTTATCTTACATGCATTTTTCTTCTAATCGTCTATTCTGCTCCTTATATTGCTAATGTGTCTAGCTGGTCGTGTTATAAATTTTAAGGAGCTTAATTCTACGTAATTACCAAAGTTTCTAAGTTGCCTCGCGAACACGAGAATAATTACGGGACGAAAGATAGGATAAGGAAAGAAGGAAGAAAGAACAGACGGAGAGAACCCTTCGAAACTTTTCAAGATCGAGCTCTTTAGAACATGCCGACATTTTTTGATCGGTCGTTATTTATTTGTGTACGATTTCCGACAGTGATGGTTCACGAGAGAATTAGAAGAAGACGAGCGACCGCTACGAAATTGATGACATTTTGATTTATGATACAAAGATGGAAATCCTACGCTGGGAAACGGGACACGAGAGGGTCGCGTCCCGCGAGACTCCCAGACGCCTTTATCCCGTAACGGCACCAATTTTTTTGATCTGCATCTCGATCATCATCGTATGTGTCACTCGCTTGTAAGAGAACACTCGCGAGAGTGCTTTCTCATGAGATTTATGATGTCCCAATGCTGCGGAAAAATGGAGACCGAAAATGCGAGGAAAAGCGAATCGATCGTTTCGAGTGGTGTAGGTCTACATTCGCTGATACTGTCTGTATGAAATACACTGTATGCTTTTATCAAACTGAATCCTTTGTGTTTTAATCCTATATACAGCATCGAAATGAATTTAAGAGTTAAACCAATCAAGAATTTAAAACCAATTATAAAGAAAGAAGATTTATTAATTAATACATTTGAATCTCATAATACTCTATATATAGCTGTGGTGATTTTTATAATTTGACCGAGCACTTAAAAACCTTTTGACTATTATCTGTTGCAATTTTAATTTTATTTGATTAAGTTCGCCGCGAATCATAATTCTTACTGCAGTTATTCTGTTACTGACAAGTGATCGAAGTTCCTCCGGCAAGGACTCTCAGCGGTACAAGGGATTGTACGCGCTATTTCAGGAAGCCATAGTGATTACGCTTCGATCGCCAATGAGAGCTTATCTCGACGGCGGCTTCTAAAGAAGATGCCTGTGTACATGTACCGTCAGTAGCCGCCGCCAATAGCCTTTTCACCCCCTTGATCCATCCCTTGAC